GAGGATGACCCTGCTGAGGCTGCGGTGCCTCAAATATTGGAAGAAGTCACCCCCTGTGAGTGGCTGGCTGAGGTTCCATCTGCTGAGGAAGTATTGAAGGCGATCCGGAGTCTGAGACCAGGAAAGGCAGCGGGCAGAGATGATCTCCCAAGCGAAATGCTGAGGGAGGGTGGCGTTTGTGCACAAACTGCCCTATATGACATCATAACAACAGTCTGGACCACTGGACGGGTTCCGCAGGATTGGAAGGATGCCCTGGTGGTCCGCCTTTTTAAGAAGGGGGACCGCACAGACTGTAACAACTACAGGGGCATCTCACTCCTCAGTGTGCCGGGAAAGGTCCTGGCAAGGATTATTCAGCATCACCTTGCCAGGCACGCTGAGGAGAGGCTTGCGGAGCCCCAATGTGGTTTCAGGAAAGGGCGGTCCTGCACAGATGCCATATTTTCTGTCCGTCTGCTACAGCAGAGGTGTAGGGAATTCCAACAAGACCTACATCTCTGCTTTATTGACCTGGTCAAGGCCTATGATACCATCAGTAGGCCTGGGCTCTGGGTCGTTCTTCGTGCTTTTGGAGTACCTGACCCTCTGCTCACGATCATTAAGGACCTTCATGATGGTGAGCGGGCCCGGGTAAAACTACGTGGCTGGGAGTCAGAGCCATTCCCTGTACACCTTGGGGTGCGACAGGGATGTCCTCTGGCTCCCACATTATTGAACATCTATTTTGACCACGTAGTTCGTGAAGCCTTCAATAGCTGTACCGGGGGAATCTCCATATGGTACAGATATAATGGGAGGCTGATCGATGCCCGGGTACGGTCAAGGCATGGCTCCCTATTGCTCAACCACGTTATGTATGCCGATGATTTGGTAATAGCTGCTCATTCAGAGCAGGAGTTGGAGACGCTGCTGCTGAGACTGGAGCGTGCTACTAAGAGATGGGGCCTTACCATCAGCCCCACCAAAACTAAGCACCTTCCTGGGTATTTTGTACCATCGGACACTTCACCCCCACATCTCCCAATCGGTGATGGGGTAGTTGTGGAGAGAGTGGAGAGTTTCCCATATCTGGGCAGTGTGCTTATGACCGGCTCCAGTTTAACAGCAGAGGTCTCACTCCGAATTAGTCGAGCGGCAATATCTTTCCATCGGTTGCGTAACGCTGTGTGGAAGCTACCTGGTTTGTCGCTCTGCAATAAGCTTCAGGTCTTCTCGGCCAAGGTCATTCCCTCCCTTCTCTACGCTTGCGAAACATGGACCCCCCTTATGGAACATCTTCGCTGGTTAGAAACATTTAGGCTAGCCTGCCTACGATCCATCCTGGGTTTACCCAGGCTGGATTGTGTGAGGAGCTCACAAATCCTTGAAAGATCTGGGCAAGGTCCCATCGGTGAGCTCCTCCGGCGGCAAGGCTGCGATGGCTGGGTCATGTAGCCCGCATGCCCAGCCACCGCATGCCGAAACAGCTTTTGTTCGGCCGGATTGAGGGGGCTAAATGGGCGCGGCACGGGCTAGAGAAGAGATGGAGTGATGTGGTACAGGAGGACGTGGAGCTGAGTGGACTTGCCGATGACTGGTACCAGCGGTGTCAAGATCGGCCTCTGTGGAGGAGGCTCGTGAAGGATGCTGCTGGGCAGTTGGAGGCAGTCGCCCTCCAACAACAATGGAGGGCGGAGGAGCGACGCTCACAACAACGAGCGGAGCGCCGGGTGGCTAAAGCACAGCAGGTTGGCACAGTAGGGGGCACAGGTGGTGCATCAGCCAGTCATCTCAGTCAGTCGACCCGTGGCACCTGGGTCTGCCCCGTGACCTCCTGCCAGCGGGCGTTCGACACTTCACGTGGCCTCAAGGTGCACATAGCCTGGCACAAGCGTCGTGGTGACGTCACCGCCACTTAGTGGTGAATGGCGATTGTTGTTGTGTGTGTGTGTGTTTCTGCAGGTGTGTATGTGTTTCTGCAGGTGTGTGTGTTTCTGCAGGTGTCTGTGTGTTTCTGCAGGTGTGTGTGTGTGTTTTTGCAGGTGTGTGTGTGTGTGTTTCTGCAGGTGTGTGTGTGTTTCTGCAGGTGTGTCTGTGTGTTTCTGCAGGTGTGTGTGTTTCTGCAGGTGTGTGTGTGTGTTTCTGCAGGTGTGTATTTATGTGTGCAGGTGTGTGTGTGTTTCTGCAGGTCTGTGTGTATGTGTGCAGGTTTGTGTGTTTCTGCAGGTGTGTGTGTATGTGTGCAGGTGTGTGTGTGTTTTTGCAGGTGTGTGTGTTTCTGCATGTGTGTGTGTGTTTCTGCAGGTGTGTGTGTTTCTGCAGGTGTGTGTGTTTCTACAGGTGTGTGTGTGTTTCTGCAGGTGTGTGTGTGTGTTTCTGCAGGTGCGTGTGTGTGTTTCTGTGTGTGTGTATGTTTCTGTAGGTGAGTGTGTGCAGGTGTGTGTGTGTTTCTGCAGGTGTGTGTATGTGTGCAGGTGTGTGTGTGTGTTTTTCCAGGTGTGTGTGTGTTTTTGCAGGTGTTTGTGTGTGTTTCTGCAGGTGTGTGTGTATGTGTGCAGGTGTGTGTGTACGTGTTAAACTGAGGTGTGTGTGTGTGTTTCTGCAGGTGTGTGTGTTTGTTTCTGCAGGTGTGTATATATTTGTGCAGGTGTGTGTGTTTCTGCAGGTGTGTGTGTGCAGGTGTGTGTTTCTGCAGGTGTGTGTGTGTGTTTCCACAGGTGTGTGTGTATGTGTGCAGGTGTTTGTGTGTGTTTCTGCAGGTGTGTGTGTATGTGTGCATGTGTGTGTGTGTGTACGTGTTAAACTGAGGTGTGTTTGTGTTTCTGCAGGTGTTTGTGTGTGTTTCTGCAGGTGTGTGTTTATGTTTGCAGGTGTGTGTGTGTGTGTACGTGTTAAACTGAGGTGTGTGTGTGTTTCTGCAGGTGTGTGTGTGTGTTTCTGCAGGTGTGTATATATTTGTGCAGGTGTGTGTGTTTCTTCAGGTGTGTGTGTGTGTGCAGGTGTGTGTGGGGAGCGCTGCACTACGAACCCGGCAACCCACGTTCAATAACCCCTCATGGCCAACACCACTGACGATTATCTGAACTGATTCTGGGCCTCTCCCCGATCGACTCAGCCTCAAATGAGTACCTGGTGCAGTGTGTAAACATTGCCACTGGGACACAAAGGCGGCCGGGTGTGGTGCTGGCCACCCACCCCTTCGTGTGCTGTGTCGGTCTTCAGGTGCTCGCTAACAACACTTGCCACAACAGTCTCTTCAGGCTATATGGGTTGTTTAATCTTTGTGAAGTAGTCTAGTGGTTAGCGTGCTGTGCTGTGAACCCAGCGACCCGAAATCGATTCCAAATCATGGCCATCATCGGTGACGAATACTTGACCCAGTACTGTACCTCCCCTAGGTCGGCTCAGCCTTAAATACGTGCCTGGTGTGGTGCTGGCCACCCACGCCCTCATGTGCCGCGTCGGCCTTCAGTTTCATGAAGGCCGACACGGGGGTCTCTTTAGCATCTCTGTGGAGATCACTACCACCGTGAGGAATACCGCTGCAGCAAATCAGAGGGTTGGTCCGGACAGACGGATGACCCCTCACGCAGAGCCAGGTGAGAGGTGATTGAGGAGCAGGGGTCCATCACGGGGGTCATGGCTCCGCCGCATCGACCGCTGCTGAAGAGGCAACGGGCGGGGGGGCGTTGGCAGCGGCCGCTGCTCCGTGCCAGCGCCTGCCGCGCTCTCACGCTCGACTCGACAGTCGGCACCACCTTCGTCGAAAGCCGCATCCTGTCCCACGAAAACCTCCATGAGGGGCTCGGTATCCTAGCGACCAAAGGTGAATCTCCGGGGAGGGGGGGGGGGACACCTCTGCCCGGTGTGGTGACTCGGCGGGGCCGATGGGCGTGCAACGGACGACTCCTATGACAGCAGCAGCAGCGGCAGCAGATTTATGGAAGACGCTAAAACGAGCGGAGAATGCGCCCGAAGGTCTCGCGATCAAAGCGGCGTGGCCGCCGCGCACACTGTGCGAGCATCACCAGGTGTTTATGGCGCCATTAACCTTGACGAGGATGCGGAGCGGCGTGCGTTACGAGCTCGTAACCTTCGCGATTCCGCACCGGTGGTTGGGGGTCTCACGCAGGTGAACGCGCGGCCCGTAACGTGGTGACCTTGTAAATGCGCCCACTCATCATCATCTCCTCCTCTACATCGCCGCTCCGGCTTGGCCGGGGTCCGGTGAGACTCGGCAGCCTGCCGGCACCGGCGCGGCAAGCGCCCGGGGTCTAACTCGTCGTCGCTTGACTTAGACCGCCGAGCTACTGGGATTCGCCAGCAGCGCGGTTACACGATCGGCGTTGCGACGAGGGACAGAGGAGCACGCGGGTGAAAGAACTGCACGCACGCAAGTCGATGACGTAACTCAAGAAATGTCGGTGGGCCTGGGCAGGGCTCCGTCTCTAAATGGGACGGCGGCCACAGGCCCCGGACAATAACGGAGCGGCAGGGATGGAGCAATGCGTCCGAGAGGACTTCCACTGGGGAGATGAAGCGATGATGACATTAGCTCTCGCGGGAATGGTGAGAGGTTGCGGCAGTGGCTTGTGGAGGCCTTCATCCAGCAGAGGATCGACCATGGCTGATGATGATGATGGAAAATTTGCTACCAATTCCTCTTTATTCAAGGTGTGCTGTTGCATTATCACCGCTCGTTCTGCGGAACTCCCCTCCATAGCGATGTGGAATTTCCACCGCTGACTCAGGACTTCCAGAGGAAATGAGCGCCAACTCGTGCGCACTTCATTGTGGACCCATCGAGTGGGCGAGTTGCACCCTCTATGCGTGCCCCCTCCATGTCGCTTGCATTTGAACACACACCGAGAGCGTGCCAGTCCGGTTTCCACTTCCCTGCCAGCGCGCTCCCTCCTGACGTTGTCTTCACATGCAACGAGGTGGCTGGGGTTCAGTCCGGGTTCACGCGGTGCACGCGGTTGATTGTGGTTGAATGCGGTGTGACTCGATCTGCCCAGGACCGCGCTCACGGTCTTCATCTTCATCGCGAGGGCCTTCATCTCGGGTGGATTCCAAGCCGCCTACGTCTACACTCCCGAGGTGAGGCCACGCCCGGCTCGCCCAACACTGTGGGCACGGGGCACAGGGGGGCTGGGCCAGAGGGCACGGGGCCACTGGGCACAGGCACGGTTGGCACCGGCCCACCAGCAACCCGGGGCATTTGCCACTGCCGAGGTCATATATCTCACACTCGGCCTGCCTCAAATGTTCACCTCGGTGGGCCACCAAATCATTTACGTTGGGTGCGTGGCAGCACAACTCCAGCCCCAATTGGCCCAGTCCGACCCAGGGCTGAGGGCACAGGGCACCAGGCAGGGAGCGTGGGGACGAGGGCAGAGGGCGAGGGGTCGCGTGCCGTGGGGCGCATGTCGAGAGGTCAAGGGGCGAAGGGCACGTGGGGTGCGGTGACCCTGATCCACCCCACGGTGTGGGATGTGTGTGTGTGTGTGTATGTGTGCGCGTTGAACTTCTTTCGCACCGTACGTAGCCAGCCACGGCTAATCGGAGGTGCGGGATCCCCGCCGCTCGCCTGTCGTTGTGACCGCGTGTGTGCAGGTTTACCCGACCACGTCGCGGGCGCTGGGCCTGGGCACGTGCAGCGGCCTGGCGCGCGTGGGCGCCCTCGTGACGCCCTTCATCGCACAGGTACCACGTCATCGTCGCATCGTGTGTCTCCGTTCACACCGCCGGCGATTCCGTGAATCGCTACGGATCGAGGGTCGACTCTCTCTTCAGCTCTTTCCTGCAGCGTTGCTTGCTTTGTTACACCCTCAACGCAGTAACCTCCGCTGAGACGCTGGCGTAAAGGCGCAGCCCCGTAATTGCCCGCTCGCGTCACCGCTGACGGAACACGGAGCTCTAGAGAGCGCCTTCGGCTGGAGGGTACTTGGCCTACGCTTCCGCGCCGCCCAGACGTCTCGGAAGAGGCTGGAGTACCCCGGGCCACGGGCGACCCCCCTGCCAATCGACGGACGTTACATTTTTTGCCGAATCTCAGATCGGTCGTCGCACGCGCGGTTCTCCGTGTCGTGGGAATTGGCGCGGCATCACACCTCACCCCTTCACACATCGCACTGAGCGGCGGCTGGAAATCTCCAAACTGCTTCTGCGATCACACATCAAAGGCAACCGGGGGCCTCGCGGTTTTACGACGGTTGGAGGTGGAGCCGCTGCACGGTCATTCACCACTTGATCGTTCTCATCAAGGTCTTCTGGTTTTTACGACTCAATCTTGAGATTCTCCCCCGCAATCGAGGTAGATTGCGGCGAGTCTGCGGCTCGTCGCGGCGGCGGGGGTCGGTGGGGGTGAGCGTCGTGACGAATCTGGCGGCTACCGTCGGGGCACGTGCGACGTTTACCGACGTCGTAAACCCGGCCCCGATCTCCGCGCGGAGGCCAAGGCCACGCCGCGACCTTCGCTCCGCGGCCTCCCACGCGACGGTCACGTGACGCGAGGGTGGTAAAACGGGAAGTGTGTCCCGCATGCGTGTGGCTGTTCGCTTTACGGGGGGGGGGGGGCGGGTTTAATAAAACGAAAACTGAGAATTGCTCGGGGATCGAGCGGAATGCTGCGTCCGCGTAGAGCTCCTCGCGCTCTCGGGGGGCCCCTTCGTCGAACGGCACGTCGTGCCACCATTGGCCGACTCCTCTCCGCGGGCGGTGCGGCCTCTCGTGCGAGGAAACCCACCTCGCACGTGGCAGGGCGACGCTCAAAGTGTCCGCACGGGTGGGTTCACAAACCCCCGGCGTCAATCACCTGCCGCGTGGAACCGGGGTTACGGCTAAGGTACAGGTTTGAGTTAAGGCCCAGGTAAAGATAAGAGACTACACTTAAGATTCGACTAGGCTTAGGGTTCGAGTGAGGGGTTAGGGCTATCCTTAGGACTAGAGGTAAGCCTATTACCCGGACAGGCTCGGCTCCAGCTCCACTCAGATTGGAGGGGGGGGGGCAGTAGAACTGTCGCGTGGGGGGACACCATCGCAGTGATTCGCCGCTCAAGAGGAGGGTGAACGTGGCTGGGCCAAGGGGACGTTTGGTGGTGCGGGGCCCCCACCTCGGCACCCCCCCCATCCTGGCGGCCCCCACCCTGGTGGCCCCCACCCCAGTGCTCCTGGCAACCGGGGTGGAGGCGTCTGCTGATTCTGCAGCCCGGGTCATTGCCCTAATCATAACCCTACCTGTAACCCTCGCCGTATCCATAGCCCTAACCCAACATTGGGTGGCTGTGGAAGGGTTACAGCTGGAGTTATGGGGCATGAGCTCGGGCAGTGACTGAGGAATAATGTTCTGTTTATGCACAAAACTAAACACAGCGCACCCCTTGAAGTAAATCCGGTAGGGACGTGGTCACCAGCGCACGTAGACGTCACACCGGTACCGTGACACGCGTCAAGCCCGCCGTCCGTCATGCCGCTCCCCCGCGCCCACCCCAGGTGATGCTGGCGAAGTCGGTCTACCTGTCGGTGTCGGTGTACGGCTCCGTGTGCCTCCTGGCCACGGTGGCGTCGCTGCTGCTCCCCATCGAGACCAAGGGCCGGGGCCTGGTGGACGCGGCGGGGCCGGGGCCCTGGGGCCAGGAGATGGAGGGCCGCGTGACCGGCGACGGCTCTCCCAGCGCCGCCTCCGACTGATCGCGCCGCCCGGCTCGCCGGAGCCGCCGGGGGTCACCGGGGCCGCCGGGCAACGGCGCGGGAGCGGTGGCCCGCCACGGCGCCGTCTTCGCGCGGCGCCGAGCGGTCTCGGCTCGTTCGCTCGGCGTCGATGGCCGGCGAGCGCCGGTGGAGCGCGGTGGGCGGGGAGCGATCGACCCCCGCCCCCCGTGTACAGCGTGAAGTGGGTCGTGCCTTTACCGCCCCCATCCCACCCCGTGAGCCCCCCCCCCATACCCCTCGTGACCCCCCACAACGACCCTCCTTGTGCGTGCGGCTTACGGTGACGCCGTCCCCTTAGAGTCGAGGTGAATGTGGTTGTGTTTAACGCGGGGTTGGGGTCGTGGCTTTGGCCGGAGCGGGGTTTGGGTCTCCGCGGTCCGGGCTGTCGGCGGTGGCGGTGGTGCCGGTTCCCCGTGCCGTGGTGCCGTGCACACCGGGTCGCTGGCCGCTGCAGCAGCCGGAGTTCGCGCTGGAGCCGCCCTAACCTGAGTTCGACTCCAGGTTGACTCATCTTGCGGCACCCAGCACCAGCCACTTGTGACATCGTCAACTGGGCTGGAGAGTGGTTGATGTGGGTGGTTGGTGGGAATGTGGTTGGTGGAGGTGGTTGTTTGGGTGGTTGGTGGGAATGTGGTTGGTGGAGGTGGTTGTTTGGGTGGTTGGTGGGGAGGTGGTTGGTGGAGGTGGTTGTTTGGGTGGTTGGTGGGGAGGTGGTTGGTGGAGGTGGTTGTTTGGGTGGTTAGTGGGGAGGTGGTTGATGTGGGTGGTTGGTGGGAATGTGGTTGGTGGAGGTGGTTGTTTGGGTGGTTGGTGGGGAGAGGCGCCTCACCGTTGAGTATTAAGATCATGCTGAGCACGCATATCAATTAATGAACTCGTTTTCAGTTTCATCCGAGCCATGCCTGCCAAGGTTGGATTGAGCCACTCCCAGCCACTGTCATCCTTTCCCAAACGCTCTCTTTCACCAGCCACTCTGTCACCTCTTACCACAAACGGCCACTTCCAGTATTTGCGAGCCACTGCCAGACACTTCTCAGCCACTCAGAGCTTCTCTCAACCACTGCCAGTAACTCCTCAAGTCATTGTAAGTCGCTGTCGCCCACCTTTCGGGCCGCCACCTGTTCGGTATAGGGCCGTCAAAGCTGCGGTCGACTCTGAGCCCAGACTTCAGGGCGTGCGGGCTCTCTTGATCCCCCGCCACCCCGAACACCGACGCCAATTCTGGGACCGTCTGCCCGCGTCAAACCCTTACAAGTGGCAAACCCCACGTCCTCTCCATCCGCCAGCCCGCCCCTCAATCGTCTCCCCTCGCCACCCAAAGCCCCTTTGCCCTCCTCGCTCATAACGAGACCCCCCCGCCCTGGCGTGGATGAAGCTGTCAGCCCCCCCCCCCCCCACCCCTAGCAGTGCAGTTAGGTGGAGAGGTTTTTGTGTTTTTGCCAAACGGGGCCAAAACGCGACAAAACGGTGGCTCGAGGGCCCAGCCATGAGCGAGCCTGGCCACGTGATTGTTTAGCTATAAATACATACAGTACATATACATATATACATGGAACCGTGTAATACTGATGATGATGCTGCTGCTGATGATAATGATGATAATGATGCTGATGATACTGTGACGCTGCCACTGCCGTGATGACTCATGTGCTGCTACTGCTGCAAGCTCCGTGTAGGTGACGTGTGTTGGCTAGCGTTGTAGGCGTCTCGTGCCCTCTGTGTGCGTGTTCGTATGGTTCGTATGGAGGTGGTGCTCTTCCAATAAATCTGGCGCGCGTCCTCGTGGCTTCGTGAGTGGCTTTGGCATCGTCATCACTGACATCATCACTATCAGTCAGAATGGCGATGATGATGAAAAATAGAATAGTAGTTTTACTCTTTCTGGCCATTATAACATGTGTTAAATTGTTCAAACACCAAAAAGACACCTTTTGCAAGGCATCAGGTCTGCATGAACCACACATACGAGTAGCAAAACATGCAAACAAACATGCTCTGATAATATTTGCCACAAGTACGTGTGGTTAATGCAGACTTGATACCTTGCAAAAGGTTTATATTTGTTGTTTGAACATATTAACACCTGTTTTATTGCCAGAGAGCATACCCCCTATTCTTATTTTTCATCATTTTGTATACTGACAAAAATATCCCATGGATAATCAGAACGATGGCCCTAATGTTTGCACCATCATCAACTGCACAAGTGCCTCCAGTATTATCAACACATATGCTATAAGCTTTATTGTTGTCATCATCATCGCTGTCGGCAAGATCACCACCCTCACAATCACTCCCACCGCCATCATCATCATCGATCACCACCGCCACCGGCAGTGTGGCTACGGGCACAATCATCGTCACCTCCCCGCTTGGCATCGTCACTTCACGCGCACGTGGCTTTATTACCGACGCGGTATCGACAGCAGCACGGGAACAAGGTGCGATAGAAGCCAGCACCTCACTCGTCTCCACCTAGATCCACGTGGCTCCACGTGGAACCACGTGGCCCCACCTGGAACCACGTGGCTCCATCTGGCACAACGTGGCTCTATCTGGATCCACCTGGACCCGCGTGGCTCCACCTGGAACCGCGTGGGGCTCGGGAGTTCCCAAACCCGAGTTCCCACAGCGGCACGCGGCGCGCGCCCCTTTCCGCGAGCGCCGGTCGACTGCGTTCAGACACGAATTCGTTCCACACCGCACGCGCCTGATGATTGCCCTCGACTGCAAGCGCCCACGCGGAATTTCACAGATTGCCCCGGTAACTCGCACGCCGCTCCTCCGGTTACGCGTCAACTCGGTCACAGATGGCACACGGTGACGCGTTCTCAACTGTGTTAATAATTATAATGATGATGATTACAAAGTGCCTGCGTGCAGAGACCCGGCGCGGTTCATATCGCCGAGAATTCCCGAGCGAGTCCCGGACCCGACGCGACCGACACCCAACGCGGCTCGTCGCTTCAGCGCATCCCCGTGGTGCCGTCACGACTCCCGCGTGGCCTCGTCTTCCGTGGGTGCCGTGCAGCTTAGACAGCAGCTGAGCTGGAGCAAAGGCTGTGGAGAGGGGTGGGGGAGGAGGCGGGGGGAGAACGCTCACGTGAGACGCGGGGGTCACACCGGAGTCACAGCGAGCCCCGTGCCGCCGTTCATCCTTCGGGGATCCTGGCTCCGACGCCAACCCGCCAGCGGAGGGTCGCCACCTCTTTGCCGCGGAGCAAACCCGGGCTTAATTCTCGGCCGGCACGAGCTCTCTCATCGGTACCGTACTGTGCGGTGAACTGTGATACGGCTCAACGCGGCGGCATCAGCGATACGAGATCTCGGTGCTAATCAATGCGGGCTGCCACCCGAACACAGACGCGTGCAAGTTCAAGCCTGGAGAGATGGCGACGCGAACCGCCACCACGGCCAGCCGCCTCGCCTCACCGTGAAGACGCGGTCTCGGTGCGCGTACGCCATCAGCAGCAGCGTCAACCCCAGCACCACGAAGGCGGCCACGATGGCGCCAATGGGCAGAGGCTCACCTGGGGGACACGGGGACACGGGGACACGGCGTTAGCGAGACGCGGGGTGGGTGGGGCTGAAGTGACGTCAGCTTGAAGAACCACGAGCGCGTTCTGTGTGGAGGCGCTCTAGCCGGTGCGGGGCCTGGAGCACTTTCTAGATTTGAAGCTCTCGTGACCGCAAGGATTCATACTCTTTGTTTTTTTTTCGGTAAAGTCACGTAGGTAAAATAAAATAAGTGAAAACAACTAAATTAAATCACGACGTTTCGGAGGCAACACAAGCTTCCGTCTTCAGGTGGAACCGACAGAGCAAAATAGCTGTATCAAGGGAACAGCTCTTAGACACCCGAGAGATTATATACAGGGTAAGGGGGGGGGGGGGCCAGGAAGGGACGTGGGTGGGGAGGGGAGGGCTAAGTTAAGCCGTCTTTTGTTTTGCTGCAGGGGGTTCAGGGGAAAGCGATGGCGCGCTGCACGAGAGCGGGTACAACCACTGGTAGAAATGGAAATGGCTGTAAAATTATTTTAGCTGCCCTATAATTTTTAGCTGCCTTATAATTGCATATAATCTCGGGTGTCTCAGAGCTGTTCACTTGATACAGCGATTTTGCTGTGACTGTTCCACCTGAAGACGGAAGCTCCTGTAGCGTCTGTTATAAAGGGGCCCTAAATATAAAAAAACACAAATATTAAAACAGAATTTTTGTTACTTGCATAGTAAAGTGATTGTATTTTTTAAATTTTATATACAGCCAGATAATACGACAAATCACAAACCTTAAACACCCAGTCGTTCATAAAAGTTGAAGGCGGTACAGTACTATAGTAATAGAGCAAGTGTAGAATCACTGAACCGGAATTGAGAGCTTGAAAGCATTTAGCGCGGGGTCCTTGAAAGTGCGGGGCCTGTAGCTACTACACATGTAGCTTACATGTGTAGTAGCTACTACACATGTAGCTACTACTACACATGTAGCTACTACACGTGTAGCTACTACACGTGTTGTAGCTACTACACGTGTTGTAGCTACTACACATGTAGCTACTACACATGTAGCTACTACACGTGTAGTAGCTACTACACATGTAGTAGCTACTACACAACATGGGATAATCCGGCACTGGCTGTAGCCGAAGGGGTCGCGCACGAGATCTGGGATATCGGATCCCCGTCTCGAATGACGCGGCGTCTTCCTCCACCCTCCCCCACCCCCCGTGTGGCGGTCTACGTCCTCACCCTCCACGATGAGGACGAATGTCTGCTGGCAGGGCGTGGGCGAGGACGTGCCGGAGGTGCCGTTGATCACGCAGCAGTAGCGCCCCGAGTCCGTGTCCGTGGCGCGCGTGATGGAGAGCGAGGAGGAGTCGGGTCTCCACGACACCGAGTAGCGGCCCTCGCTGTTGGACAGCGCCTCGCTGCAGCCCTCCCCGACCCACCACTGCACCTCTCCTGCACGCACGCGCGGGGAACGCGAGGTGGGATGCGGGGGACGCACCGAGACGCTGGGTCACACTCGGGATGCGTGGAGACGACACGCGGGGACGCGGGATTGCCTGGGTAGCTAACGGGGACACGGTGGCGGCGTGGAGACGCTGAGCGTCACACGGAGGGCACGGGGACACGTGGAAGCGTGGGGTCACGCGGAGACATGCGGGGGCACGGAGACGCACAGGAACGTACGGGGATGAATGGAGCAGGAATATCGCACGGGCGTTCAGTGCGGGGACGCGTGGAGACACGTGGGGGACACGGGGTTATACAGGGGTCACATCGGGACACAGGGAACTCACGGAGATACACGGGGACTGGGGTCCGCACCTGGAGCCAGTTGTGGGCGGCTGTAGATGTTGCAGGTGAGCGTCACGTCTGTGCGCCGCGTTGACTGAACCGTCTGCTCCGAAGGCGGGGGGATCTCGCACGGGTCAACTGCGCGCACACGGAGAGGCGTGGGGGACACGGACGACACGGGGGAGAAAGCGGGGGATGCACCTTGGGGGGGGGGGGGGGCGCACGGAGACGAGCGAGGTCGCAAGGGGGACGCGTGGGGGTTGGTGTGGAGAGACACGCGGACGGGCAAGAGATGATCCACCGTGAACTGACTCGGGTGAGGTTGGCGTCCCTCATGAAGGCGTAAAGGGGCCAGGGGCTGAGTTCGCTGCTATGGGGGTCTGGGAATTGAGTCTAGGATCGGTGGGGCAGGAGCCTGGTCTGGATTCGGTAGCGGAATTCTGGGATCTGGGAGCAGGGGTCGATCTCTGGGGTCGGGGTCTTACCGGTGATCGCGAGACGCCGCCGCCCCGTCCGAGTCCCCTTGGAGCATTTGAAGACAACTCCCTCGTCCGCCTGGGTCACCACGAGACAGACCACGGCGTCGGTCGTCGCCACGACTTGATTGTTCCTCGTCCACGTGACCGTGGAGTTGATGGGCCCATCGGAGTCCTCGCACACGAGACAGGCTTTGTGGCCGAGGCGGAGGGCATCGGAGGGGTTGCAGTTGAGCAGCGAAACGTTTAGTGCAGCTTCCACGGAGACTGCACGGGGAGAGGCCAGGGACAACATCATCATCATGATCATCATACATCACCCCATCATCAACAACATCATCATCATAATCACCCCATCACCATCATACATCACCCCATCATCGACAACATCATCATCATGATCATCATACATCACCCCATCATCAACATCATCATCGTCATACAGCACCCCATCATCAACAACATCATCAGCATCATCAAACATCACCCTATTATCGACAACATCGTCATCATTATCATACATCATCCCACCATCATCAACAACATCATCATCATACATCTTCCCATCATCAACAACATCATCATCATACATCACCCCATCAACATCATCATACATCACCCCAACATCAAACATCACCCCATCGTCAACAATATCATCATCATCATCACCATCATCACACATCATCCCAACAACCTCAAGACTTCCCAAATCACCGTCGCGCCCCGTCCCATCACCCGCCCACCCCTCCCACCCCTCCACCCCTCACTCCCTCCAGCCGGGGAGCCGGGGTCCCTATCCCCCGTGGGTACCAGTTCTGGTGGAGGAGGCGCCCTGTGCCGAGCAGGTCGGGACCAGGGGGAGGACGAGGAGGATGATGCTGAAGAGGTGTGCGAGGTGGGCGAGTGGACCTCTCACCGACGGTTCGCGCCTGCCCATGGCTCTGGTGTCACGCGGAGGGAAGCAGCAGCATCGTGCGAGTCACTCCATCGGTCAGTCAGTCCGCAAATCCGTGCGTCAGGCAGTCGTTACATCATTGGCGCTTCGTTAGCTCCGTGCGTCCGTCAGTTAGTCCGTCCGTAGTGTCGTCAATTACGTGGCCAAGTCAGTTAAATGATTTCGTCGATAAATTAGTCCGTTAACTAACGCGTCACTTTCTTTTGATCAACTACGTCAAATCAGTGAACGGGTCCACAAGACGTATGCATACTCTTTGGTTCTTTCGGTGAAGTCACGTAGTTTTAGTTCACCGAGAGAACCAAAGAGTATGTATTCCTGCAGTCACGAAAGCTTCAAATCAAGACGTGTCTAAAAGGAGTTCATCGATTGCGACTCGAGCGAGGAGTCCATCTCTGGACCCTGCGTTAACAGCGACGGGGTCTTCGCACTCAGCGGCTCTGCACGGCGCGTCCGTCCGTGTCACGGTCAGCTGATGGACCCTCGGCAATTTCGGTGCGCCGCGTGGCGGTGAGTGTGTCGCCAGTGTGTCGCGCATCGGTGTGTCGGGTGTGATGAGCGCGTGTCACGCGTCAGTATACAATTCGCGTGCGCACGTGGCGTGTGTCTCGTGTGATCATGCAGGCGAGAACTCGAGATGCCACGGTGAGTCTCGTTCGCGAGAGTGACCTGGTTCGCCACAACCACAAATCAGTTTTAGTTCGCCCATGAATGAGTCCACCGGTTAGTCCATCGCTTCGTTCATCACGAAGGCAAATCGGTAAATTAATCACGAATGTGATTGTGGCCCGGGTGTCGTGTGGCATCAATCAGTTCCGCGTCGTGGCAGGGTGCGCTGGGTGAGATGTGTGACTGTGCCTATGCTGTGCCTATGCCGTGTGTATGCTGTGCCTATGCCGTGTGTAAGCTGTGCCTATGCTGCGCCTATGCTGTGTATGCTGTGTGTATGCTGTGCCTATGCTGTGTGTATGCTGTGCGAATGCTGTGCCTATGCTGTGTATGCTGTGTGTATGCTGTGCCTATGCTGTGTGTATGCTGTGTGGATGCTGTGTGGATGCTGTGCCTATGCTGTGTGAATGCTGTGTGAATGCTGTGTATGCTGTGTGAATGCTGTGTATGCTGTGTGATTGCTGTGCCTATGCTGTGTATGCTGTGTGTATGCTGTGCCTATGCTGTGTGTATGCTGTGTATGCTGTGTGTATGATGTGTATGCTGTGTGTATGCTGTGCCTATGCTGTGTGAATGCTGTGTATGCTGTGTGAATGCTGTGTATGCTGTGTGATTGCTGTGTCTATGCTGTGTATGCTGTATGTATGCTGTGCCTATGCTGTGCCTATGCTGTGTGAATGCTGTGTATGCTGTGTGAATGCTGTGTATGCTGTGTGATTGATGTGTCTATGCTGTGTATGCTGTATGTATGCTGTGCCTATGCTGTGGATGCTGTGTGGATGCTGTGCCTATGCTGTGTGTAAGCTGTGCGTATTCTGTGTGTACGCGGTGTGTATGCGGGGCTGAGCGTCAGCCGCTGGTTCACCCCACGCTGACGCCGCCGTACTCCGCTGGGCAAGTCCCCGACACGCGCGTGGGGTCCCTCTGTGAGCGATCGACTCCTGGCAGGGGCGGGGTGGTGGTGGCTGGTTGGGTCCCGCTGTAGGGGTCACTGTAACCCAGAGGCTGAGTGTGGGTCCCTGGTGAGTGGGTCCCCGCTTCTTCAGGTTCAGTGGGTCCCTGGTGAGTGGGTCCCCGCTTCTTGAGGGTGAGTGGATCCCTGGTCCCTGGTGAGTGGGTCCCCGCTTCTTCAGGTTCAATGGGTCCCTGGTGAGTGGGTCCCTGCTTCTTGAGGTTGAGTGGGTCCCTGGTGAGTGGATCCCTGTACCTGGTGAGTGGGTCCCTGGATACGGTGGGTGACGAGGTCCCGGGTGGTACCGAGTCGGGTGCCCGTGCCGCCCGCGGCCCCGGTATTTATAGCGGCGCACGCTTGGGCCGCGACCAATGAGATCGGCGTGCCCAGGAGGGGCTGAGTGATGCGAGGGTTCATCGTGACGGGACGAGATTCTGTCGACTCACAACGACATAGACCCCCCCCCCCCCCCCGTGTAGCCTTGTGACAGACTGCTGGGGCAAGTACTGTTATCGAGCCCCTTTGAACGCCAAGCCCAGCCGCCTTTGTCTCCCCAATGCTGATGCTTACAAAGCCGCCTTTGTCTTCCCCAATGAGGTACTCATTTAAGGCGGAGTCGATTTACACAATACTGTGCTGGAACCCCAGGATCGGGACAAATATTCGGGTCGCAGTGTTCGTAGCGCAGTGCACTAACCACTGCGCCACCGCTCCCCATGATGCATACAAGACAAAGTCAAAGATCCCCCGTATAGCCTTAACATACTGTTGGGGCAAGTGCTGTGAGCGAGCACCTATGAAGGCCGGAACGGTTCACGAGGGAGTGGGTGGCCAGCACTACGGCCGACCGCCTTTGTCTCCCTCGTGGTGATGTTTACACATCGCGCCAGGAACTCATTTGAGGCTGAGTCGACCTACGGGCGTCCCAGGACCGGTTCAAATAATCGTCACTGGTATTGGCCGTGAGCGGAAATCGAACTCGGGTCGCCGTGTTCGTAGCATAGCGCGCTAACCGCTACACTACCGATTCCCATGATGTACACAAAACAAAGACAAATATCCCCCGTATAGCCTATACCATACTATTGGGGCAAGTGCTGTTAGCGAGCACCTATGAAGGCCGGCACGACACACGAGGGGGGGGAGATGGCCATCACCACGCCCGGCCGCCTTTGTCTCCCAAGTGGCGATGTTTGCACATCGCACCAGGTACTCATTTGAGGCTGAGTCAACCTACACACACACAGCCACAGGCAACTGGCACCACGTGACAGCCCTACACACATGACGCCGTGTCGCAGTACCGCATGTGTATAAGTACTGTAGGTGTACACACAGGGGCCGTCCATAAATGACGTCACGCACCTAGGGGGGGGGGGGCAGACATTTGTGACGATGTGTGACGACGGGGGGGGGGGGGGGTGAGAAATGTGACGTCACATAAAAATGCGCAACTTTAAATAAATATAGGCAACACGTTCTACTTCATAGACTTTTTAATGTTTTCTCTAACAACATCAGAGTGCAGCGGCACATTAAATACGCACTACAATGGCAATAGTTTAAAGCGATTTGAAGCATGTTTTATATATTTTTGGAGGGGGGGGGGCAGAGCTTTGTGACGTCATATTTGAGGGGGGTCTGACTTTTTGTGACGCCGTGTGACTAGGGGGGGGGGGGGGGTTGAAAAATCGTCCAAAATCGCGTGACGTCATTTATGGACGGCCTCACACGTGTACTCTATCTACCCATGTGCATACTGCGTACAGAGTACACGCACCAGTGTGTGTGTACTTCTATGAAGTACACATAGCGCATGCGTGTACTGAGTCTATGAAATGCAAAGACGTGCATGCGAGTGTCTGATATCTATGCAGTACACCCACACACTCGTGTACTCCATGGAGCGCGCATGCACGTATATGTGTGTGTGTAGGGGGCACAGGTGGTGCATCAGCCAGTCATCTCAAGTCAGTCGACCCATGGCATCTGGGTCTGCCCCGTGACCTCCTGCCAGCGGGCGTTCGACACTCCACGTGGCCTCAAGGTGCACATGTCCTGGCACAAGCGTCGTGGTGACGTCACCGCCACTTAGTGGCGAATGGCGGTTGTTGTTGTGTGCTGAAACACCAGTGACGATTATGTGAACCGGTTCTGGGCCTCCCCTAGGTCGACTCATCCTCAAATGAGTACCTGGTGCGGTGTGTAAACATCGCCACTGGGGAGACAAAGGCGGCCAGGCGTGGTGCTGGCCATCCGTTCCGGCCTTCATAGGCGCTTGCTAACAGCACTTGCCCCGACAGTCTGTTAAGGCTATACGGGGGGGGGGGGGGGTCTTTGTCTTGCATAGACTCAGTACACACGCATCGCAAATCTTCCTTCAGGAAATATCCCGATGCAGATTCGTGCTGGGTGCAACTGCATTTGCAAGTGTGATGTGTAACTTTCATCTTTAGCCGTGTATCGACAGTAACATTTTAATGTGCAATTTTTAAAATCGAGGAGCGACTCTGTGGGTGCTCTCTCGTTGCCGTCTGGGACTGTTTTTTTTGCTGTAGTTTGCTGCCTTGCCCAAGCTTGGCAATTGATGTACCACACTCCCCTTATGCAATTGAAACATATACTTTGGGGGCCGTCTATAAATGACGTCACGCGATTTTTAACCCCCCGCTCGTCACACGGCGTCACAAAAAGTGAGACCCCCCTCAAATATGACGTCACAAAGCTCTGCCCCCCCCCCCCCAAAAAAAATAAGACATGCTTAAAATCGCTATAAACTATTGTCATTGTAGTGCGTATTTAATGTGGCGCTGCACTCTGATGTTAAAGGAGAAAACATTTATTAAAAAGTCTATCTAATTAAATAGAACGTGTTGTCTATATTTAAAGTTGCGCATTTTTATGTGACGTCACATTTCTGAAATACCCCCCTCGGTGCGTGACGTCATTTATGGACGGCCCATTTATCTCGTCTCTATTTTTAGTGATTTGCTCACCTTTCCGATACTGTTTGTTGTTATTTTCTGACCGGAACCTTACTGGACAGCTATGAACAAGAGCTTCACAGCTTATCGGATTTCTCAAAGGACAAATAAACATTCTGATCGTGTGCACCGTGCCCACGTGCAGTGCCCGCATCTCATCAGACCACGTGGACCGGCGACTTCCGCTCCCGTGGCCACGTGACGCGGAAGCGGCGCTGCCTTCTGAACACGTGGAGCGAGAGGCAGCCATGAGGTGAGCAGAGCGAGGCCGCCGCTGCGTGTGTCGGGGTTATTGTGTCGGGGTTAGAGGCATTGGCCGAGGTGTGGTGGCTAAGACGTCTGGGCTATGGCCGGGGCTAGGACCCGAAGCTGCGGCTGGGGCTCGCGTCTCTGCCGTACGCGGCGCAGTTGCCCCGGGGCTCCGCGGCGAGCAGGGCCACGGGGTACGAAGAGCCGAGAGGGAGGCCCCCATACCCCCACCGACTACGCTACGCCACTCGTCGGGCCCGAGCTCGTCGCGTCTGGGTTAGGCTTGGGGCTCAGCGCCTTGGGGTTTTGGTCAGGGCTGGAGTTGGAGTTCGGGTTCGAGGCGCTCCATGCGGTTCGTGACAACGCCCCCCCCCTACCCCCTCACCCCTTCCCCCCACCCACCCCCTCACCCCTTCCCCCCACCCACCCCCTCACCCCTTCCCCCCCACCCACCCCCCCTTCCCCCCCCCCACCCACCCCCCCTTCCCCCCCCCACCCACCCCCCCTTCCCCCCCCCCACCCACCCCCCTTCCCCCCCCCACCCACCCCCCCTTCCCCCCCCCCACCCCCCCTTCCCCCCCCCCACCCACCCCCCCTTCCCCCCCCCACCCACCCCCCCTTCCCCCCCCCCACCCACCCCCCCTTCCCCCCCCCACCCACCCCCCCTTCCCCCCCCCACCCACCCCCCCTTCCCCCCCCACCCACCCCCCCTTCCCCCCCCCACCCACCCCCCTTCCCCCCCCCACCCACCCCCCCACCCACCCCCCCTTCCCCCCCACCCCCCCTTCCCCCCCCTTCCCCCCCACCCACCCCCCCTTCCCCCCCCTTCCCCCCCCACCCACCCCCCCTTCCCCCCCCTTCCCCCCCCACCCCCACCCCCCCTTCCCCCCCCCTTCCCCCCCCACCCCCCCTTCCCCCCCACCCTTCCCCCCCACCCCCCCTTCCCCACCCCCCCACCCCACCCCCCCCACCAACCCTTCCCCCCCCCTTCCCACCCCCACCCCCCCTTCCCACCCCCCCCTTCCCACCCCCCCTTCCCACCCCCCCCTTCTCCCCCACCCCCCCTTCCCCCCCCTTCCCACCCCCCCTTCCCACTTCCCCCCCACCCCCCTTCCCCCCCCACCCCCCCTCCATCCCCCCCTTCCCCGTACTAATGATGATGGTGTTGTATTGATGATGATGATGATTAAGGTCGTACTGATTATGGTACTGATGATGATACTGATGATGATGATGGCTGTGCCCGCAGCTCCGCAGACCCCGTCGCTGCTGTCCCCGATGGCCGCCGCCTGCTGGTGCAGTTCCGGGACGAGAAGGGAGCCGCGCTGGCGGCGCCGCTCGACCTCCCCGCGGATATCAACGCCCAGCGCCTGCAGCTCGTGTGCGACGCGCTGCTGCCTTCGGTGCGACCCTCCAGGCGCCCCCCCCCCACCACCACCGCCACCACCCCCCTAGAGGAGGGGGAGCGGCGACACTTGACGCGATCTCTCCTGAGCCCCCCTCTCGTAGCGGCGAGCAGACCTCGACGTCGCCACAGCGTCGAGCTCCCCCGCCCCCGATCGCGTCGCCGTCGGCGTGTTGCGAGAATAGAAATTGTGGTCCAGCACCGACAGCGCGCGCGCGCATGAGCGGTAGTAGAGTCGTGGTTGGCTACGCCGCGCTACGAACCCGGCCAGCCGAGTTCGATTCCCGCTCGCGGCCAACACGAGCTACGATTATCTGAACCGGTCCTGGGACTCCACTAGGTCGACTCGGCCTCAAATGAGGACCTGGTGCGGTGTGTAAACATCGCCACTGGGGAGACAAAGGCGGCCGGGCGTGTTGCTGACCCACCCAGCCCCTCGTGTGCCGTGCCGGCCTTCACAGGTGCTCGCTTAACAGCGCTTGCTCCTGCAGTCCGTTAAGGCTACACGGGGGATCTTTGTTTTTTTTTTTTTTGCGTGTGCGCAGGACGACCCCGCGCCGCTCGCCTTCTACGTGCACGAGGTGGAGATCGTGGAGTCGCTGGAGCGCTCGCTGCAGCAGGCCCAGCCGGCCGCCGAGACTGAGCGAGCACTCGACGTGGTGTGCCAGCCGCAGGCGACGTTCCGCGTGCGCGCCGTCACGCGCTGCACCAGCTCGCTGCAGGGCCACGCCGAGGCCGTCATCTCCGTCGCGTTCAGTCCCAACGGGCGGTGAGTGCGCGGCGCGGCGCCGAGACGAAGGGTTCTCCCCGTGTAGCCTTCGCCGCGCTCTTGGAGCCAGTGCTGTCAGCGACGCACGATGGATGGGGTGGTGTTGCCAGCGCCGCCTCCGGCCGCATTTGCCTCCCCAGTGCTGATGTGTACACGTCGCACGTTGGTACTCATTTAAGGCCGAGTCCAACCGAAGGGAGGCCCAGGACGAATTCAGATATTCCCTGCCATTGTCATGAATTGAACTTGGGTTGTCGGGTTCATAGCGCAGCGCGATAATTACTGCGCCACCGCTCCCCACGCACGTACAGTCGCACGCACATACAGGCAGTTAAAAAGCACACGTGAACTCGCGCTCAAACGCACGCATGAGATGGTGCCAGTGGTGGTGATACTGGCACTGGTTTTCGTGGTGACAGTGATATTGGTATTGGCGGTGGTGGCGGTGGAGGCAGTGGTGGAAGCGGTGGCGGTCTCCTCTCCTGTTCCCGCGCGGTGCCCCAGGTTCCTGGCGAGCGGCTCGGGCGACACCACCGTTCGCTTCTGGGACATCAGCACGGAGACGCCGCACTTCACGTGCACAGGTGAGTGGGGGCGGGAGGTACAGCTCCAGCTAGGGGGGTGCCCCTGGCCCCGCTCCGTGGGCGGTGGCCCGCATCCAGTGGTGGATTGACCACACAAAGGCTGTGCGTGGGCACTCATCGTCTTGGCCGTCTTCGTTGTAAACCGTGCTTGTTTTTGTTTTATTCGAAGCGTCACCCCCGTGGGGTCGTCGTCTGTGTGATGGTGATCGCGGCCGCTCTGTCTGCTGTCCTCGCTCCAGGCCACAAGCACTGGGTGCTCAGCATCGCCTGGGCTCCTGACGGGAAGAAGCTGGCGTCTGGATGCAAGAACAGCCAGGTAAGGGGCAACCGCTCAACCATGGTGTAAGCGTGCAGCTGTGCAGGTAGCGAGCAACCGTGCAACCACTCATCCACAAAGGTGGCCAGCAACCACACAACCGCTCGACCACAGCGATAGTGAGTAGCCACGCAACCACACCGTTGACGACCAACCACACAACCACTCAGGTAGTGCAAAACCACTCAACCATGCAACCATGGAGGTACTGCTCAACCACGGCTGCTTGTGCCCCATGCCCAATGCCCCATGCCTCCATGAGTGAAACCCCTGACCTGCAGTGTTATCTACCCCCCGCTCCCCCCTTGCCCCCCCCCCCCCAGATCTTGCTGTGGGACCCGGAGACGGGGCGGCAGGTGGGGCGCGCCCTGACGGGGCACACCAAGTGGATCACGTGGCTGTGCTGGGAGCCGCTGCACCTGTGAGTCTGCTTGCCGGTGTGACGGCGACGCCGCCGCAGTGCGAGAGCCACAAGCATCGCGCCACACGTGTCGTTGCGGAGTCTCTCCGTCACATGACTGTCGTTGCGCATTTGGTTTATAAACATTTAGCTTCTTGACAAAACACGAAATAAGCTCGGTAATAAATCTCATATTGGCCGCGGAAACTTGCGTGTTGAATAATTGCAGTTGTAAATAAATAACCACCACCAATTAAACTTCAATACCTACCACCAATTACATTATAATACCTACCACCAGTTACATTACAAAACATCTATCGGGGTAAGTGACGGCTCATCGGTTAATTAGTGCATAATTGTTGCGTGACCGATGGCATGTGCGTTATAGATTGTGAAATGGCAATGATTTGACGGCCCATGCCTGGCTAGTGTTGGGTGAGCTACACTTGAACGAGTCCGGCGCTGCGCTTTCCTTGAACGAGTCCCAGCACTGCGCTTGCGCTGCACGAGTCTGGCGCTGCGCTTGAGTGAGTCTGGGGGACGGTTCCACGTCGTAGCTCCGCTCCGTGTCCAATTACCGCTCCCGTGGAGGTGGTTGGCACGCAACGGCGCACCGTGCCGTGTAACTGCGGCTGCGCCCGCTCGACCTTCCTGACGTAGCGCCCCCCCCCCCCCCCCGCGGTGACGGTGCCGTCCGCAGGAACGCGGAGTCACGGTTCTTGGCGAGCGCCTCAAAGGACGGCACGGTGCGCGTTTGGGACACGGCACGCGGGGCGTGCGAACGCGTGCTCGCGGGCCACACGCACTCCGTCACGTGCCTGCGCTGGAGCGGAGAGGGCCTCCTCTACTCCGCCTCGCAGGACCGCACCGTCAAAGTTTGGAGGCCGCACGACGTGAGTCGCCGCCCGTGCAAGTGCCCCCGTGGGTTTTTTGACGAGAGAGCGAACGTGCAGCGCTTGCCACTGTTGCGTCGCGGCTTCACGCGGCGGAGAATCCGCTGGGAATTCGCGCGGAGCAGTGCGACCCGTCGTGCTAGAGAACGGCCCCCCAGAAGTGGATTTCACCAGACTAGCTCGGAGATCCCCCCCAACCCAGTGACCGCTGGCTCACACAGCCAGGGGGCCGCACTTTCCACTGCTTCTACCACAAAGAGTAACGTTGGTAGCTTCACAATGAAACCGAAGTTATCAATGCTCAGGACTCGAAGTTAGCCAAATTAAATGCAGTGATTTTTTTGTTGTTTTTACAGTCATTGGTGACCGAGTTGAGAATCCGGTTTCATCACTAGCAGGGGCTGTAAGCCGGATTCACACCCAAGATCTCAGCGGCGTCAGCACGTCGCTCTGAGCTGTGAACCACCCGGCCACCCCATTGCGCTTTTATTTTGATGTTTTTCCATATTCATCCAAATTTGGAGGTAGATATTCCGTGACCTCTATTGACGATCAATGACCCTCATTTTATCCCCATATCTGGGGCCGCCTCGGTGCTCGGAAGGCACCGCACCGTCCTGGGGATGCCCGCTGGTCCTGCGCGATTGCATTGCCATCGCTCGTAACCCGCTGGTGTTGTGCGTGCGCGTTTGTTGTGGCACTCGCAGGGCGTGCTGTGCCGTACCCTGCAGGGCCACGGACACTGGGTGAACTCGCTGGCGCTGAGCACCGACTACGTGATGCGCACGGGCGCCTTCGAGCCCAAGCACGCCACCATCGTCCCACGCAGCAGCACCGCCTCCCGTGAGCCTCCCCCACCTAGCGCCGTCCTTAGTCGCGTGCTAATAATCGCCGAGGGATGGACTGTTTGCTGCACGTGTGGGCGTGTCAATACAACAGTGCAGCCATGTGTGTGTCTGTGTGGATCCGTCTCTGTGGCTCTGTCAGTGTTGAGTTTTTGTCTCTCCGTCTCTTTTTCCAGTGGACGAGCTGAAGGAAAAGGCGCTGAAGCGATACAACCAGGCCAAGGTGAGCACGCTGGGGAATCTGTGGGGGATACATGAGGGGTACCAAGACAAAGATCCCCCTGGTAGCTATGAGTCGATTTTTGGGGCTGTTTGAGAGCACCTATTTGGGCCAGAACAGCACACAAGGGGGTTGGGGGGCCAATGCCATTCCCAGCCTTCTTTGCCTCCCTGGAGGGATACGCTGTGCCAACAGGAGAATACACACACACAGATACGCACAGAGAGGTACGTACAGAGAGGTACACAGAGAGGCGTATACACGCGGAGCGATAGACGCAGGACCCCCTCTGGTCATTCAGACTGCTGGGGCCAGTGCCGCCGTTAGGCGAGCATGGGGGTCCGGGCTGCGTGTCCCCGCCGAGCGGCCACGTCCAGTGGAGACGGCGCCGCCGCCGCCGCTGACCGCCCCGCCGGCGCTCCCCGCAGGACGTGCATGGCGAGGAGCGGCTCGTGTCGGGCTCGGACGACTTCACGCTCTTCCTGTGGCACCCGGTGCTGGACAAGAAGCCGGTGGCGCGCATGACGGGCCACCAGGCGCTCATCAACGCCGTGGCCTTCTCCCCCGACGGGCGCATCCTCGCCAGCGCCTCCTTCGACAAGTCCGTCAAGCTGTGGGACGGACGCACGGGGAAGTACGTCGCCCCCCACCGCGCCCCTTGCCCCCCGCGCCACCCCTGGGCGATCGCCCCCGTTCCCGACTCTCGCCGTGCGGGTCGCGATTCGAGGTCCGGGTTGTCCGTGAGCTGCGGTCACGATGCCGGCGCCGTTAAAAGGGAAGGGGTGGGGGGTTGGCGACGCTCATTCTGCGTGGTGCCGCGACACAACTTCCTCTCGACCTTGACCTCTCCCTATCTCACTTTATTACTCTAACTGCTGGCCTGGACCACGTTACCCATTATAGCCACTGCTACCGTCCTCGCCACCACCCTTCTATGACCATGACCACCCACTCCAACTTCACCTGTTGCTCCGAACCTGAACGTCTCACCGCTTATGCCGACCTCCCTAACCCTGATCCGCTGCCCCCGGTTCCTGGCCTCTCGCCATCGAGCCTGGCTTTTAACGCAGCGGCGCTAGCCCTGACGGGGGGGGGGGGGGGCGGAGTGCATTTGGGCCCTGCTCCACGTGCCGCTGGGCTCCAGGAGGTGTCGGTGCAGGGGCTGCGGGGGTCACTGCGGGGTCACCGCGGGGTCGCCGCGGGGTCGCCGCAGGGTCGCCGTTGCGAGCGTCGGTTTAACCGAGATGGCTCCGGTGTCGGCGGCGACAGGTTCCTGGCGGCGCTGCGCGGCCACGTGAGCGCCGTCTACGCGGTGGCGTGGTCGGCCGACAGTCGGTTGCTGGTGAGCGGCGGCAGCGACAGCACGGTGAAGGTGTGGGACGTGCAGACGCGCGCCCTCTCCGTCGACCTCCCGGGCCACGCCGACGAGGTATACCCCTCGCACCGCACACTCGGCCACCTCGTTACAGACGTACGGCAGATCTCGGTGATGACGATGAGAATGGTGGTGGTGGTGGTGGTGAGAGGTGGTGGTGATCACGGTGAATGATGCTGGTTCTTGTGGTCGTAATTACGGTCGTGATCCCACGTGAGTATAACGGTAGCTTTGTTGATGCTAATGAAAATGGTGACGGTCATAGTGGTGATGATGATAATGGTGGTGGTGGTGGTGGTCCTCTCTGTGTAGGTGTTTGCGGTGGACTGGAGCCCGGATGGGCAGAGAGTAGTCTCTGGCAGCAAGGACAAGATGCTACGGATGTGAGCAGCTGTCCATCATGCACCCCCACGCTATAGCTATCCCAGCAGGCACCAGCTGTACCACAATCCACCAGCTTTTCCAGCATGCGTCACATGTTTTAAGCGTTCAACAGCTATCCCAGAAGGCGTCTTGAGCCCCCATTCACGAGCGGTGCGCGCTCGCGAAATTTCCAACCGCCAGTGATTTGTTGACTCCCTGTGGTTGTGGTTGCCTTGCGGGGGGGGGGGGGGGTTGGTGGGGGGGAGCCCTTGCACGCCGCAGATATAACGGCGCGCGCTCTCTTTATCGACAGATGGCGGAAGTGAATGCGGCCTGCCTGCCTGCCTGCTTCCTGCCGCGGGAGAATCGCCAGTGGGGGAAGTTCGCCGCTCTCGGGGGGACCGCGACCGCGCCGCTCCCGGTCTCCGCCCGCAAAGTCCGCCGTGGCTGCCCCGCCCTGTGTACCTGTTGCCTCCCCTACCCACCCCTGTATCTTAGTGGGCGAAGAGGCTCGTATATGAAGGCCCAGGGCAGGCACGAGGGGTCTGCGCGACGGTGCACGCGCCGTGGGATCGGGCGGCCCGCGACCCAGCGACGCCGGTTAGCGATCGGGACGAGCGATGCTTTTTCTACCGGTGTGTTTCGTAATGTAAATACTCGTTTTACCAATTGATAAATAAAACGGCGTTACCTTTGGCATCGTTTCTGGGCGATGACGTGTTACTGCGTGGCATCAGTAGGGGGCGCGCGTGAAGATGTGTCGATTCGTCCGTTGATAATTATCGGCGCTCGCGGTACACGGACCAAAACGCGCACGTAGGTTTTTTTTTTGCAGCAAATGGGATTCGCAGGTGATTGTTGAGTTGGGTCACAATGAGTTAACCAAACGTGACACATTCTCCAGTAACACTGGCCTCAAAATAATAAAATATACGAGGCGACGTTTCAGGCAATGGGCCCTTCCGTCCAGCAGAGACGCGAAGACCGGCCATTGCCGATTGAATATTTTATTTCTTTTAAGGCCACAGTGCTATTGACGAATGTGTTATTTGTTCATTATGCACCACTGCCAAACGCAGCAGCAGTAGCAGCAAATTATTTGTCCAAATTTATGTCGTAAAGACCCCTCTGCCACCCGAAAGCCAAACAAGTGTGTTCGTTTCGTGCCCCAAGCTTTTGACGACGCGCCAGTGACTCTTGTTTTGACTCTCCGATGAGAATCTCGTTCCCCGCAGCCTCGGGCGGTGTTGCCGCGTGCGTGCTTGGAGTTTGGGGAGTGTGCGTTGGTGGCGACAGCTTCCCATTATCGATTGCCTGAGGTTGAAGGAACTGGGGGGGGGGGAGTTCCTCAATGTTTGGTGATCTCACTGCAACACCTGGACATGACGTCCTGTTGCGCCAAGTGGCCAGTCTTGTGCCCGCTGGCGCAAGGCAAGCTATCGGCGGCGGTAGATCGGCATTGGCACATCTGAGGGTGACCGCGGTTTACGTCAGCGGTGTGCACACGGCGTGCTCGTCAAAGCCATGACTGACGCTCAGTGTTTCTTGTAAAGATTTTAATAAACCGTAAAAAAAAATAACTTTAAATATTTAGTCATTATAGCTTTAGCACTGTCACAAGAAGACGGGTGAAACAGGTGTTTTTTTGTAAAAGCACTGATGTCCTGGGTCTGAGTCTGAGCATATGAACATGGCTCGACACACTTCTCCGGCGAAGCTGCTGTCAACACAAAATCGTACAAAAGTCACATAATTTAGATGAATTCCCGCTCTGAAACCTAAAACACTTTGGTTTCATTGACATGCAAACAAACACTCAATAAAAGCTATGACCCCACTGTGGATAAAGGAAGAGCCGAGTGAAGCGACTTCATTCTCTTCCGCATAGCAGGACAACTTCATTCTCTACCACGGCGTGGTGCACCGCTAGCCCTGCGGAGTTCCGAATGGAAATGTCTTCGTCTCATGCCGTGACGCTGATGGCACAATTAGAAAGTAATTGGGGACATAACGAAAAAAAACCCACCGTGGAATCTTGACCAGTCCTTCCCCCGGTGCCGCCCTCGGCCACACTCTCGCAACCGCTATAGCAGTAGAGCGAGCGTGACGGCGAGCGTGACGGCGAGCGGACCGGCCCCCCGCGAGGCGAGGGTGGAAGCCGCGGCGCCGCCTTTGTCGAGGCCGCCTGCGTTGTCTCCGCACGCGAGCCAGTCTGTGATGGGGCGTGGGTACCCCGGCTCGACACTCAGCATCTTGTCTGACAGCTGCCAGTAGCTGGTGTCCTTGAAGAAGAAGCTTGATCCTGCGGGCGGCATCCACACGCGTATCGCACGGCACCGTCAACGGCCTAATCTACCAGTGATCGCATCTCCCGGAGGACCCGGTGTCTTCCAAGGTCCAGGTTTTAGCAGGGTGCTCATGTATCTCAGGTGTTCCAGTCTTACCTGGGCACCTAATCTCTCCCAGGGGTGTTTCAGTCTCAAGCAGAGACCTCGCCTCTCTCAGTGGACCCAACTTCTCCCAAAAAGCAGTCTACCAAGGACCTCTGCTTCCCCAGGAGTTCCAGGCTCTACCAGGGACCAAATATCGTGCAAGGGACCTAGTCTCTACCAGGGGGACCAGCCCCTCCCAGGGTTCCCGTGTCACCGCCGCCCACCGTTGTTCCAGCTGAAGGCGTCGGTGATGCCGTTGGGCAGGCCCTTCCACAGAGTCAGCTTCTTGGGGTAGCCGGACTCGACGCGGCGCAGTCTCTCGTCGTAGCGCCAGAAATCGTCCTCGCGGAAGAAGTACGTCTTGCCGTTGTGGTACCACTCGAAGGCGGCGTGCACCCCCGAGGGGGGCAGCCCCATTTCTGTCACCCGGTGGGGGTTCCCCTTGTCTGCTTTGGTGTTCTCAAACACCCAGAAATCGCCACCTGCGTGTGGCAGACGTCGTGGTTATGCACCTGGTTACGCACCTGGTCATCAACTTGGACACACCTGGTTGCACACCTGGTCACGCACTTGGTTAGGCACCTGGTTAAACACTTGGTCATATTCCTGGCTATGCCCCTTACAAACCCCGGCCGATCTTCGTCAGTAATGCTTGGCGCGCGACTTTGGTTTCATTTTCAAAATGTGGCTGCTTGAGCACAAGCCCACAATACCAAGTGGGCAGCAGCGAACAGACCGAGGGAAGGTGTAAGAGATTAAGGGTTGACGGGTTTCTTGAATCGACAAGGGTCGTCGGACGTTGGGAAAAGATTATATTTAAAAATGCACAAAAACTTCTAAAGAGCACTCGGACTGTGTATTATCCAAAAAACATCAGTTCCTGAAAAAATGCATTGTGTTTCTCTTGGGTTACCACCACAATAAATGTGAGCAAATGTGACCGACTGAGAACAGCGGTGATGCCTCTGTGGACCGGTGTTGTTTTTGATAGGACTCATCGGGACAGTCGAGTCACCAATGATCAATACCCCAAGGTCTGCCTCTGGGAACCGTGTATATACAATGTGGAGTTCCATCCCCCTTTCGCACTGGGGCCCATTAGCTTGGCTAATGTCAACAATCGCATCGATTATACCTCTGGGGAAAAGGGACGCTGGGAGGGAACTCCAATTGGAGCGGTATGGTGGCAGCACAAAGATTATTGTGACCTTCAATGTGGTGAGTGGGTGAGTTACTGTGATCTGCAGCGTGGTGAGTGAGTGTGTCGTTGTGACCTGCAGCGTGGTGAGTTAGTGAGTTGTGACCTGCAGCGTGGTGAGTGAGTGTTGTTGTGACCTGCAGCGTGGTGAGTGAACACAGTGTCTGGTAGACCGAACCCTCAACATGGGTGGAGTTGACGGGAACGGTCGCCGTGGCAGTAGCGATAGACGAGCGACAGCGGGAGGCGACCGAACGCCGGTGAGAGAGTCGCTGCAGCATTTTCTCATCAATTGCTGCATCGTACGCTCACCTGAGCGGCAGGTGAGGCGCTGCCCCTCTCACCTGTCAGGAAGATGATCTTGGAGTCTTGGCTGCGCTCGTACACGGCGTCCACCTTCTGCAGGTCATCGGGGAGGCCCGACCAGAAGTCCCGGATGGGCATCCCCTCGGGGGCCTCCAGCTTGAGGCCCCGCAGCAGCCGCCAGAAGTGTTGCCCTGCATGGGGTGGGCACAGAAGCGGGGCCCGGAATTACGACTGGGAGACATCTCTGTCTGGGGCAGGGCTCGGAACGTTTCGTTGCACACACTCAGGGGCCCAAGCTCTCACTCCTCCCTCACACTCAGGGCCCACACTCTCACTCCTCCCTCACACACTCAGGGCCCACGCTCTCCTCCCTCACACACTCAGGGGCCCACGCTCTCACTCCTCCCTCACACACTCAGGGCCCACGCTCTCACTCCTCCCTCACACACTCAGGGCCCACGCTCTCCTCCCTCACACACTCAGGGGCCCACGCTCTCACTCCTCCCTCACACACTCAGGGCCCACGCTCTCACTCCTCCCTCACACACTCAGGGCCCACGCTCTCACTCCTCCCTCACACACTCAGGGCCCACGCTCTCACTCCTCCCTCACACACTCAGGGCCCACGCTCTCCTCCCTCACACACTGAGGGGCCCACGCTCTCACTCCTCCCTCACACACTCAGGGCCCACGCTCTCACTCCTCCCTCACACACTCAGGGCCCACGCTCTCACTCCTCCCTCACACACTCAGGGGCCCAAGCTCTCACTCCTCCCTCACACACTCAGGGCCCACGCTCTCACTCCTCCCTCACACACTCAGGGCCCACGCTCTCACTCCCTCACACACTCAGGGGCCACGCTCTCACTCCTCCCTCACACACTCAGGGCCCACGCTCTCCTCTCTCACACACTCAGGGCCCACGCTCTCCTCCCTCACACATTCAGGGCCCACGCTCTCACTCCCTCACACACTCAGGGCCCACGCTCTCACTCCCTCACACACTCAGGGCCCACGCTCTCACTCCTCACTCACACACTCGGGGGCAGGGCAATGTTCGACCTTTGAAGAAGAAGATGTCTCCTCTGAGCTGCGTGATGGCGTCGAAGTTCGTGTTGCAGCGGTCAATGTCTCCTTTCCCGGGGTGCCTGTGTGGTTATGGGGATGGGGTGCGGATCAATCAGTGGTCAAGAAAGCCAGTGATGGGTTGCTGGTGCCAGTGATGGGATGCTGGTGCTAGTGATGGGATGATGGTGCTAGTGATGGGATGATGGTGCCAGTGATGGGATGCTGGTGCTAGTGATGGGATGATGGTGCTAGTGATGGGATGATGGTGCTAGTGATGGGATGATGGTGCCAGTGATGGGATGCTGGTGCTAGTGATGGGATGCTGGTGCTAGTGATGGGATGATGGTGCTAGTGAGGGGATGATGGTGCTAGTGATGGGATGCTGGTGCCAGTGATGGGTTTATGGTGCTAGTGATGGGATGATGGTGCTAGTGATGGGATGATGGTGCTAGTGATGGGATGATGGTGCTAGTGATGGGATGCTGGTACTAGTGATGGGATGATGGTGCTAGTGATGGGATGATGGTGCTAGTGATGGGTTGCTGGTGCCGGTGATGGGATGCTGGTGCTAGTGATGGGATGCTGGTGCCAGTGATGGGATGATGGTGCTAGTGATGGGATGATGGTGCTAGTGATGGGATGCTGGTGCTAGTGATGGGATGATGGTGCTAGTGATGGGTTGCTGGTGCCGGTGATGGGATGATGGTGCTAGTGATGGGATGGTGGTGCTAGTGATGGGATGCTGGTGCCAGTGATGGGATGATGGTGCTAGTGATGGGTTGATGGTGCTAGTGATGGGATGATGGTGCTAGTGATGGGATGATGGTGCTAGTGATGGGATGATGGTGCTAGTGATGGGTTGCTGGTGCCAGTGATGGGATGATGATGCTAGTGATGGGATGCTGGTGCCAGTGATGGGATGATGGTGCTAGTGATGGGATGATGATGCTAGTGATGGGATGCTGGTGCTAGTGATGGGATGATGGTGCCAGTGATGGGATGCTGGTGCTAGTGATGGGATGATGGTGCCAGTGATGGGATGCTGGTGCTAGTGATGGGATGATGGTGCTAGTGATGGGATGATGGTGCTAGTGATGGGATGCTGGTGCTAGTGATGGGATGCTGGTGCTAGTGATGGGGTGCGGATATTGGTGACGTCACGGTGGTGTTGCTGGTGATGTGAGGATGTTGTGGGCGAAGGGGCCCTGGGTCCTCTCACCCGTTGGGCGGCTTTGCTGAGGGGTGCGGGCCGTCGGGGTTGGGACGTGGGGGTCTGATGGTCGGGCGCTTGCTGCCTGGAGGAAGAATGCAGCGACCCGTCTCGTCATCATCCACCATCATCCACCATCATCATCCACCACCATCATCCATCATCATCCACCATCATCCACCATCATCCATCATCATCATCATCCATCATCCACCATCATCCATCATCATCCATCATCATCTATCATCATCCACCACCATCATCCATCATCATCCACCATCATCCACCATCATCCATCATCATCATCCATCATCATCCACCATCATCCACCATCATCCATCATCATCCATCATCATCATCCATCATCATCCACCATCATCCATCATCATCCATCATCATCATCCCCATCGTCCACGCCGCAACTCTCGGGTGTGCAGGGCTGATGGTCACGCTCCCAACTTTTCGTGGCAAGCTCCAGGTTGCACTCTAGTGGTAGTGCCTTACGCCGAGAATCCCTGCTACTCCTAGGCAATTTTACCTCCAGCGATTGAGAAAATTTCGAGAACTCTATCCCCCCGGGGGGCGGGGGGAGGGAATCGACACTGGGCGGTTGCGACAGTGCGAGAGCGGTGGGCCCCCTGGACCCCCCCGAGTGGGCCCTCTCGAGCCCCCCGAGTGGGCCCTCTCGAGCCCCCCGAATGGACCCCCTGGAGCCCCGCGAGTGGGCCCTCTCGAGCCCCCCCCACCCCCCCGAGTGGGGCCCCTCGTACCGTAGAGATGGCGGATCCCTCTCTTATCGTCGTCCATGAGGGAGTATTTCTGCGGGGGCCCCACGGAGCCCTGGTAGTAGGGCCTCATGATGGAGTCCGCCGACGAGTGGCCCAGGCCCAGCGCGTGGCCCAGCTCGTGCACGGCCACGGTGAACAGGTCCGTGCCCTGGTGGTCTGCGAACACGGGAGACGCGGCCGCTCATCACGAGCACTCACCACGGCTCACCGTCATGCGGTTTCGTGCACTGCGAGGATCATGTTTTTGTTTGTTGCGGTTGCACCCGATTCAAGAGCCGCATGGCTCACAGGGCTACACCAAAATCAATGAAACTGATAAACTGAAAACTGTATATCGCACATGGCTCGACCCACGCTCGCCATCACCCTCACGCGTTCACTCACCAACAACTCACCATGGCTCACCGATTCGCTCACGCCAGCTACCGCCGGTGACCCGCGACACTCGCGACTGAGATTATCATGACGGTGACAATGACGCTACCGTTGCTGCTGCAATTGATGATGATGATGACGACGACGATGATGATGATGATGATGACGACGACAATGATGATGATGATGACGACGATGATGATGACGACGACGATGATGATGATGACGACGACGACGATGATGATGATGACGACGACGACGACGACGACGATAATGATGACGACGACGATGATGATGACGACGATGATGATGATGAAGGAGCACAAGGAGGTACCGTCTGGAGAGAGAGACCACTTCTCGTCGTCGTCGAAGTGTGTGTCCCCTGCGAGCTCGTACTGCCCGGGGAAAAACGCGTGCGCCAGAGTTCCCCCGGACCCGTCGAAGGGGTACGCGTCCGTGTGGTAGCCCCTCGAGAACTCGATCACGATGTCCACGGGGACCTCCCTACGCTCCTCGCGGAACGTCAGGGGCACCGTGTCGCTCCACACGCGGAACGCCTGCGAGATGATCCACCTGATGGACGCTTGGTCGTTTACGCGCGACGGCCAGCTGTTGATCCTGCCCAGGGGTGCACAAACATCGTCGTGGTCGTTAGCGGCCGTGGTCGATCCACTGCTAGATGAAGGTCTGCCCCCACACCGCCGACAACTCTCACGAGACGGCGGGGGGGGTCCATCTCGGGCGAGCCCACCAGGTCACCCCCCCCCCCCCGCCCCCCGCTCCTCGTCCTCCTCGTCCTCTCGAGCTGCCACCACCACCAGCACGAGGCCATTGCATCCAGGGCGAAATCTCTCTCTCGAGTAGTCGGGATCAATGAACTATCACCAGAGCACAATGTAAGTCCATTGATAATTAAAATAATAATACTAGGCCTATATATGATGATTGTATCCTGTATGCATTTCCGTCATGCTATGTCTACGTAGAGGGATGTGGCGAGCCAAATCATTCCTGAAATTGCGTTCCAGACTTCCGCATGTAATTGCGCATTGCGCCACGACCCTGAGGCGTCATCATCATCCAGCTGTCATCATTCAGCTGTCATCGGCTCTCATCATCCAGCTGTGATACCTGCACACTAGACGGCGTCATCGCTGCGGCCTCATATCGGTGGATGTCCTCTCTGTCCTCTCACCTCAGCCACCACCACCGCCACCATCATCATCCCTGGGAGCGTCGTGCCGCTTTTCCGAGCACAATTACCGTTCTGCACAGTCAATGTGATGTCTTTAACCTGCGTGTGTTCTCCTAAGGCTCGTGTTCCTTTCTCCGCCTCTCAATGTAACGCCACTCCACGGTGATCCACGCACCGCCACCACAGACCGTTTCTTAAACCAAGACAGCGTGCAGGGTGAGAAAGTGCAGTGCGCGTATTGGACGGTAAAGGCGAGCGAGTGAGAGTATACATGAGGGGTGAATGGTCAGGGTGTACGTGAGTGTAATGGTGTACGCAGGGGTGAGTGGATGAGAGTGAGGGGTTTAGCGATGGTGAGTGCGCGAGAGAGTGAGGTGGAGCGATTGAATGGTCGCGCCGTGCGAGTGATATCGGGAGAGTGAGCGCGTGGGTTGAGAGCGCGGCGTGAGCCCGTACGAAGACAGCGGCAGCGCACAGCCCGTCCGGTGCCAGGCTAGGTGCCCCTCGCAGATCCGCACCTGTACGTAAGGTCGTGCTTCCTCCAGACGCTCCCCGCCAGCGCGTACCTCTTCCTCCTCCTCTTCATGATCTCGGAGGTGCCCACCCTGTCGGGCAGCGAGCACCGCGGGGTGTTCATCATCCGCACCGTCGCCGCGTCTGCGAGACACGGGGGGGGGGGGGGGGGACGGGGGGACACGGGGTTACCCTCGGCATCGCAGAGAGGTCGCGTGTTGATCACGTGGAGGATCTCATCCACGATCTCGTCGATGATCCTCTTGCTGATGATTTCACTTATCGTGCGGATGGATGGGGATTGCGCGTGATCTTGTAGACCACGTGCACGAAATCGCGTATGATGCCCGTGGGGGGGGGGGGGGGGAGGATCTTGTAAATGAACTTGCGGGTCATCGCGTGGATAATTTAACGGACAATCACGTGGATGGTCCATCGTGATGATGGTGGTGGTGGTGGTGGATCTTCTCGTACCCACGTTCCCCGTCACGGTGATGCCGGCGAAGCGCTGCATGTCCTTCACGGCCTCGGTGATTGACTGCTGAGTCATCAGCTTCGCCGACACGGGGTCCGGGGTCTGCAGGTACCCGAAGCGCATGAGCCAATCCTGGGGGGCGCCGCACAGCGGTGGCAGCGTCAGCGGGGAGAGGGGGGAGGTGCGGCTCATCGTGCAAACATCGAATAGTGCGGCGCACACTCCACGCGCTACCAATCGAACCCTCCTCGTGCCTTGTCCCGACCTCCAGAGGGGCTACCTGCAGCTCTCGCCGGCCGAGGCCCCTTCCTTCCTCAGCAACGGCCTGAGACGGCGATTGCAGCCCTGCGCCTTTACCTTTGTTTACACAAACCCTGACGATCTCACACAGGATGAGCGACTCCCCGCGCGGTGATGGTCATGGGGATTGTTTGACCGTACATCACCACGCTGGTCAGTACGTACTGGTGAAACGGGAGGGCACAGCGGTTGTGGTCATGACTCGCCACTGATGTTAGCCGTGACCGGGAATTCAACTCAGGTTCGCGGTTTCAGAGCCCGGTGCGCTAACCACTTCGCCAACGCTCTACGCTCACGTACAACAAATGCGAATTGGAACGTGTGGAGCGGTGGCGCAGTGGTTAGCGCGCTGCGCCCTCGCCCTCGGCAACCCCGAGTTCGACTCCTGCCCTTCACCATTCACGTATCCGCCTTCATCCAGCAGTGGATTGATACCAATGCGTGCAATGCGTGATTGTCATTAGTTTACGCGAACCCGCCAGCCACTAGAGGCGTTACAACGCAGCGCAATCGTGACTCGAAATCGAGAGAGGAGAGAGTCAATACGGACGACGAACACGGACTCCACGCCGAGAGTACGGGGATGGGGGAGAGTGTCGGGAGAGTGTCGAGAGAGTGTCGGGAGAGCGATGGGAGAGTGACGGGAGAGCGATGGGAGAGTGTCGGGAGAGCGATGGGAGAGCAATGGGAGAGTGACGGGAGAGTGACGGGAGAGAGATGGGAGAGTGTAGGGAGAGCGATGGGAGAGTGTCGGGAGAGCGATGGGAGAGTGACGGGAGAGTGTCGGGAGAGTGACGGGAGAGTGTCGGGAGAGTGACGGGAGAGTGACGGGAGAGCGATGGGAGAGTGTCGGGAGAGCGATGGGAGAGTGTAGGGAGAGCGATGGGAGAGCGACGAGAGAGAGAGTGGTAGACTAACGGAGGGAATGACAGAGTGTGGGGAGAAGCGAGGGGGATATTAAGCGAGGAGAGACAGCGGAGAGTGAGAAGATTGAAGGGGAGAGTGCAGAGGGAGCGAGAGGACAAGGAGGGGCTCGTGGAGAGTTGAAGGGAGCGAGGGGAGAGTGAGGATAGCGTGGAAGGGAGGGTAAGGCGAGGTGAGTGTGGTGAGTGTGGTGAGTGTGGTGAGTGTGGTGAGAGCTGCTGCTACCATGCCCTTGGAGACGTCTCCCGGGGAGACGGTGGCCGCGTCAACCGCGATCAGCGCACATGCCCCGAGCAGCGCGAAGCAGAGCGGCACCGCGGTCACCATGGTGACCTGATGACCTGGTGACGAGGTGACCTGGTGACCTGGTGACCTGGTGACGAGGTGACCTGGTGACCTGGTGACGAGGTGACCTGGTGACCTGGTGACGAGGTTACCTGGTGACGAGGTGACCTGGTGACCTGGTGACCAGGTGACCTGGTGACGAGGTGACCTGGTGACGGGGTGACCTGATGACCTGGTGACGAGGTGACCTGGTGACCTGGTGACGAGGTGACCTGGTGACCTGGTGACGAGGTAACCTGGTGACGAGGTGACCTGGTGACGAGGTGACCTGGTGACGAGGTGACCTGGTGACCTGGTGACGAGGTGACCTGGTGGTGAGGTAACTTGACGACGATGTAATCCGACGCGCTAATGTGACAGCGAGGTAACCTGACGGGAGAGTTAATTTAATGTCGGAGTAACCCAATCGCGAGACAACCTAGAGACGAGGTAGCCTACTAGTGATGTAGCCTACTAGTGATGTAGCTTACTAGTGATGTAGCCTACTAGTGATGTAGCTTACTAGTGATGTAGCCTACTAGTGATGTAGCCTACTAGTGATGTAGCTTACTCGCGATGTAGCCTACTAGTGATGTAGCCTACTGGTGATGTAGCCTACTAGTGATGTAGCTTACTAGTGATGTAGCCTACTAGTGATGTAGCCTACTGGTGATGTAGCCTACTAGTGATGTAGCTTACTAGTGATGTAGCCTACTAGTGATGTAGCTTACTAGTGATGTAGCCTACTAGTGATGTAACCTACTAGTGATGTAGCCTACTAGTGATGTAGCTTACTGGTGATGTAGCCTACTGGTGATGTAGCCTACTAGTGATGTAGCCTACTAGTGATGTAGCCTACTAGTGATGTAGCCTACTAGTGATGTAGCCTACTGGTGATGTAGCCTACTAGTGATGTAGCCTACTAGTGATGTAGCTTACTCGCGATGTAGCCTACTAGTGATGTTGCCTAGTAGCGATGTAGCCTACTAGTGATGTAGCCTACTAGTGATGTAGCCTACTAGTGATCTAGCCTACTAGCGATGTAGCCTACTAGTGATGTAGCCTACTAGCGATGTAGCCTACTAGTGATGTAGCCTACTAATGATGTAGCCTACTAGCGATGTAGCCTACTAGTGATGTAGCCTACTGGTGATGTAGCCTACTAGTGATGTAGCCTACTAGCGATGTAGCCTACTAGTGATGTAGCCTACTAGTGATGTAGCCTACAAGTGATATAGCTTACTCGCGATGTAGCCTACTAGTGATGTAGCCTACTAGTGATGTAGCCTACTAGCGATGTAGCCTACTAGTGATGTAGCCTACTAGCGATGTAGCCTACTAGCGATGTAGCCTACTAGCGATGTAGCCTACTAGTGATGTAGCCTACTAGTGATGTAGCCTACTAGCGATGTAGCCTACTAGTGATGTAGCCTACTAGTGATGTAGCCTACTAGTGATGTAGCCTACTAGTGATATAGCATGATAGTTGATTCAACCTGAAGTGTGCCTCGTGAGGAGTCAAACCCAGCGCCCTTATATCCATCTCCCGCAGGGGGTGTTGACGCGAGATTATTGCATCACTCCTTTTCTCCAAATTACCACATCACCACCACCACATCCGCGCGCGTGCCTCTGGATGTCCAGTTTCGAGGATAAAGTGAGGGAAGAAAGTATTTGATCCCCTGCTGATTTTGTACGTTTGCCCACTGACAAAGAAATGATCAGTCTATAATTTTAATGGTAGGTTTATTTGAACAGTGAGAGACAGAATAACAACAACAAAATCCAGAAAAACGCATATCAAAAATGTTATAAATTGATTTGCATTTTAATGAGGGAAATAAGTATTTGACCCCTCTGCAAAACATGACTTAGTACTTGGTAACAAAGCCCTTGTTGGCAATCACAGAGGTCAGACGTTTCTTGTAGTTGGCCACCAGGTTTGCACACATCTCAGGAGGAATTTTGTCCCACTCCTCTTTGCAGATCTTCTCCAAGTGATTAAGGTTTCGAGACTGACGTTTGGCAACTCGAACCTTCAGCTCCCTCCACAGATTTTCTATGGGATTAAGGTCTGGAGACTGGCTAGGCCACTCCAGGACCTTAATGTGCTTCTTCTTGAGCCACCCCTTTGTTGCCTTGGCCGTGTGTATTGGGTCATTGTCATGCTGGAATACCCATCCACGACCCATTTTCAATGCCCTGGCTGAGGGAAGGAGGTTCTCACCCAAGATTTGATGGTACATGGCGCGAAAAAAATGCCCCGTCGCAAACGACAACTCGCCAAGCGATCGTCGCTTTTCCGTTGACCTTCTCCCACGTTCAAAGCCGAACTACGTTTCAGCCCCATAAATGTTCGACTCTTGAACAACACTTTTTTTGTTACCGTGAGAAATACACGAAATTAAACAAACAATAAAGTAATAAAACATCATACGTAACACCTAACCACGGATGAAGGACCACCGTGCCTGCAGGTGCCTGGCATTGATGTTGTTTTGAAGGGTAGTTGATGTTCGCGGGTGGAGAGAAGCAGCAGGGGCCATGCGGGACCGCCGGTTCAAATATCACTCGCCACCGATGATGGTAGCCGTGGCTCGGAATCGAACCAGGGTTGCTGGGTTCATAGCCACGATGTGGCAGCGGCGGGGGTGGGGGGGATTCCAGACGGAGCGCCCGCAATGAATCAATGTCAGTCTCTCCACGTGGGATGGACGAGGCGCTGCTGTTGTTGTTTCTGTCGGCCGTGACTCACACTCCCGCGACCCCCCGACATCCGTGCAGGTGAGTCGGGGCTTCCCTTGAGTTGGAGGTTGCGTAAGGCGCCCTGGGATTTCCGTTCAGGTGAGGCTGGGAACGGTGGGAGGTGCGGGGGGGGGATGACGAGTGCGTGTTGAAAAGATAAGCAGCTGATTTTCAGCAACTGATTGCCGGAACAGCGGTGTGTGAGCTGGTGTATTCCTGTGGCTCGTTGGCCGGTGGTCTTGATGGGCAGGCAGCAGTTGAGCATGACGCTCCATCGTTTGTTTTGCTCTGCAATCGAGGGTGTCGGCGGGCGTCAGGGCCCACAGGTGAGATAAGGTTGTCAGGAGGTGCGGTGGGATCCAGATCCAGGTGATGGAGGTGCGTCAGGGCTCCTTCCTGGGCGCGGCTTCCGTCCCTCCACGCGAGGCTTGTCCTTCTGATCTCGCGGGGGAAGCGATGCGTCGCCTCGGCTGACGACTCCTTTATCCGGCTAAATAAACAAACGCCTCTGCAGAGAAGGGGGCGCCTACCTGAACGAGGAAATTTTGGTCCGTCACGTGAGAGGTTCTGCTTCTGACTCACGGCCGGGGTGTTGGTGTGGCGGGCGGCGGAGCATCGCGTGAAGCAGCTCCCACCACCGCCTCCTCCCCTCATTCGCAGAAGACGAACAAAAATAACCGCGAAGCTAAGAAACTGCGTGGGCTGTGACTCAAATAGCAACAGATTCGTCAGTATCAGTGGCCTAAAGAGGAGCAGACATAACAGGCGACGTTGCGGGCAATGACATGTATTCATTTATCTACTATGAGTAAGGGCCATTTCCTGAAACGTCGCCTATTATGTTTTCCTCTTCCAGGCAATGCTATTGACGAGTTGAGTGTTACAGGGTGGGTGGGTCCTCTTCCATCCTTGCCTGCGGTCATACTTTCCTACGCCACAGCTAAGTCCAGCAGTGGATTGAGCCTGTTTGATTATTACTAATGCTGCGTACAGCGAGTCCTCCAGGTGCCTCGCGCCAACATCAGAGCTGTGGAGTGTGATTTTTGCTATAATGGCGCCAAATTCACGGACGGGCCTGCCTTACTTACTATCACATCACCGCACGGACGGGCTCGGATCAGCTCTGACTTTAAGTTCTGCAATTAGCTGTGAACAATGACACTTGTGCATTACATGATGCGAAATAAATATATACTATACTCAATGTCTATTTTAGCCATTGTATTTATTTGTATGTTTATTGCTACATGTGTAGTGACACAGCGCTGACTGGTGGACAGCAGCAGCTACTGCAGGTGGGCACTTAGTGCGCACGCCGCTGAGCACATACGCGGTGTGTGCCGACAGGGCGGAGGAACTGGGGCAAGGGTCACGGTAGCCCTCGCGTGGAAGCCCCTGGAACGCTCTGGTGGGTTCGAGAAGGGAGGCGCGGCTAGGGCGGAGCCAACCCGCGCCGAGGAGATTAAAAGCCGCAGAGAGCGAGAGCGCCAGGCTGCCGGTTCTGGGAGTGGTCTCATCGTCGCTATCGTCGCTGCCGCCTTCGTTGCTTGCCGACTTTGCTCGATCATTGCGCGGCCAGACAGTGGTTGGCTGTGCCGGTCGACGGCATCGGTGCAACGTGGACAGGGTCGTGTCTAAGGACGGGGCGCGCGGCAGCGGGGTCGTGTGTGGCGTGAGCTCGTAAACAAAAACAATAAAAGGGGAGGACGGTGCCTCCTGCGACCACCTCGTCTCTACGGATTACTGTGTGCGCGACGCACGCACAGACGACGCTACACTTAGATTGGTTGTTCAATAATTTTGCGTGAACTTCGAGATGCTGTTAAATATTGACTTTATTATGATGGTCGGTGCATACACACACGGTGGAGCGGTGGCGCATTGGTTAACGCACCGCGCCCACGAGCCTGGCTACCCGAGTTCAATTCCTGGTCACGGTTTTAAAAAAGTGAGTGAATGAGAGTGAGGGGTTTGGCGATGGCGAGTGCGCGAGAGGGTGAGGTGGAGCGATTGAATGGTCGCGCCGTGCGTGTAATATCGGGAGAGTGAGCGCGTGGGTTGAGAGAGCATGGCGTGAGTTATGAGTGAGCGCAGGACAGCGTTCCCGAGTGAGCGCGTATAAAGAGAACAGCGTGGGGAAGTATGGTCGGACGGCGGGGGGGGGGGGGGTGTTTGGGCGGCTGATCCCTCATCCTGTGATTGCACAGCCACTAGCGGATTGCAAGACGAAGTTGGTCACCACGCCGTGCGTGTTTCATAACTAATCTCATATCCGCGCTGATATGAATTACGTCTTCGCATTTCCGTAAACATTCTTACCGTAGACATCCCGATGTCTTCTTGTGAAC